TATATTATTTATTCATTTGATGTTATAATGTACTGCTGGATTCTTTTAAAAGGACGGATACATCTGTCTAATAAAATTAATCACACGAAAAATTGAAAAGTGTACACCTCTGAAGAAACAAATTATTTCTGCTTGTCAGTTTGTTTTCTATGATATTCTTATGAATAAAAGTAGAGTGGTAGTGTAAAAGGACTCATTATTAAAAAATCCGCTTTCACCTGACTTTGCACTTTGCCAGCGACAGACAAGAAAACAAGCTACTGTATAAAACCAAAAGCACACAACACAACAGTCCCCTCATCAGGAGATAGGAGATACAACTGAGCACAAGAAATGAAGGAGCACAAGAAATGAAGGAGCACAAGAAATGAAGGAGCACAAGAAATGAGGAGGATCACAAGAAATGAAGGATCACAAGAAATGAAGGAGCACAAGAAATGAAGGATCACAAGAAATGAAGGATCACAAGAAATGAAGGATCACAAGAAATGAAGGAGCACAAGAAATGAAGGAGCACAAGAAATGAAGGATCACAAGAAATGAAGGATCACCACATTTCAGAGTAACCTTTGAACAGAGAAGACACAAAGAATGAGGTGTCGATGCGAGGCATATAAACATCTACTACGAAAAAAAAAAAAATGATTGACAAAAACAAAGAATGACGGGTGCTGGTCCACTTGACAGTCTACTGTAAGACCCCCGTGACCACCCATGTTTCGACCTGAGGGGCTACTGTAAGGCAAGGCCTGCATAGGTTACAATCTGGACTACCTATCCACCAGCACGAGTTCAGGAAAAAAAATGGGGTGGGGGGAGGCTTTACTGCTTAAGTGCTTGCTTAAACAAACAACATTTTAAAAAACTCAAAACGCTTGGAACTACAGAACAAGTCACAAACGTTGATCCTGATTCTGTCCCTTTGATTTTAAGCGCCCCGCATAATTTGGCAAACTCTTTTTTATTGTGCACAATTTCAGAATATTTTCCTTCATCATTCTTCGTTAAAATTACCAGAATCGCATAATTTCACATTTTTGGGATCAGTTTGCATAATTTCAATTTTTTTTGGCATAAAACAACGGGGACAGCCGATTGAGCATCTCAATACACCATCTCACACAACCATCGTAGCTAAAACCGTATTACGTTTCAAACAATGATCCATTTGTATGGGCAACCCTGTTTATATTATTACTCTTACACCCTGACGCAAAACTTATGAGAAATGCGAAAAACTAGCCTCCCCCCCCCCCCATCAACAAACTACAACCACCGAAACACTTATAAAATACAGTAATACTGCCAACGACAGTCCCAAGCCTATGTGAACCCAGAGGGAAATGTTTAAGTATATAATAGCAAATGGTAGTAAACTGGCAGACCATTGAGTGGAACAATTGTCTGACTAGTTTGGTCGTAGATTCTCAAAGAGAACCAAAACATCGCGGAGGATCATCAAGTGGTCAGACAGCAAATGCAGGCGTCAAAACACTTCTCACTGGGAGAAACGGGTTCTAATATTTACAAGTGTACATAGAATTAGTGGTAACTCAGCAATAAAGTCCCGAGATCTAAAAAAATCCTTCAAACCAAAACCATGAGAACCAAACAACAACAAAAACGGAATTGAACAAGTAAGATGAAAACTTTAACAAAATGGACAAAGACTATTGTTCTCCAAAGTATACATATATGCAAAAGCTATAATAGAAATACATTTTTAAATAAATATATAAAATAAACAAAAATTCCAGCAACAATACATTACCAATGAGATCAACGTGGATGTCTTCGTTTTCATTCACCCAGTTGTGGCACTCGTTGAGAATCTCAAATTCCAGCGGAGGCATCAAACCACTGAGGAGAAACATGAAACACAAAAATGACCAAAACAAATATGATGTGAACATTCATTTACAGACGTGTCGGACGACTACAGCAAGTCATGCAAGAACAAGACAAGCATCCACTGAGACTAGTAAACTTGAGGACAGAACTCTTGACAAAGACTTGTAAACACTTCGGTCAAATTGTCTTTTTTTTTCCTTGCTTCTTTTTCAGCATTTGAGTCACGCAAACTGTTCCAACTTCAAAATGAAGCGTTTTTACTTCTATCAAGTGCAACGTTAAACTGAACTTATGTCAGAATTTATCAGTTTACACATACAGTGGAGTCTTCTTTTTAAGTAAATGTTTTGCGGTACTTGGAACACATTAAGTAATACAAAAGCTGAAGAGAGTACAAACACAAAAAAGAAAGAAAGATATATGGACGATAGATATTTGTAAGGAAAGAAGGAGCAAGCCACACCAGAGCACCACCCAGCCACCCACGCAGTCTGCTGTGCTAAAACGGAAATCCCCAGAGAACATTTAACATAGAAAAGAGATTTACCTTTCTTTCAGGTTCTGCATGAAACAGTATCTGGTGCTGTAGATGGAGCGTTCTATCATCTTTACATTGGCTGAATTCTGAAATATATGAAGTGCACAATCAATAATAATAAACAAAATTTACATACTGCTCAAACCCAATTAAAGGAACACATGCTTTGAGAGTTTTAAGAAACAACACAGAAACAGTAAACAGAACATTGTTTTCTGACTAAAAATCTCCCTTTAATCTAAAAACAGAAAGACTTTAGCTGACTTTTGAAAGAATTAAAGATTTGATCCCTTTAAATTAACAGGTGAATTTCGGATCTTTGATAATAAGTAAAAGTGTAACGAGAATTATCTGTCCATGTCAGAAATCTCAATTTCAACAAAAAACTTTGAAATTCTGAAGAGAAATGATAATTAAAACTCTATGAACTGTGGAACAATAAGCCTGTGGTTGGCACTTCACTGGCAACACTAGTTGTATACAAAGTTGCTTTATTATTTTAGTAAGAGTTTTATAGCACTTGCAACACAATTAGGTCATATAAAGTGTTACAAGAGGGTAACAAACAGAAAAAAGGAAGAGAGTAATTTAACAGGTACATGAAAAATGAATGAGCACAATAAAAAAACAAGCGCACAAAAAAAAAAGGAGAACAAAAAATCGGTGGACGGATGGTATTGGTTTCAAGACGCCAGCCATTTTGCTATCTGTATGCCCATGTGTGTGAGAGGGAGGACATGATGGGCATGGTGGAATAACAGAAGTGCCAAAATGATCATCATCATATAAACATTTTCCCCAGGCAAGGCAAGGATCATTGATTACTGCAATACGATCAAACTCACGGCAGAGAGAGTTTGTCTTGTCTCAAATATCTTGAAGTACAGTCGAACCTGCTCTAAAACATGTGAGGCATCATGGTGAAATCAGGCGCTCATAAATAATTACAATTACAGATTTAAAATTGGCATTATCCGGCCACTGTGGAAATTTTTTCCTAATTTTTGCTTTTTGGCTCAACACCTAGTATGCCCATTTAAAACCATGTTTATGAGTGGATTTGCAGTTTCCAATGACTCTTAATCTGTGGAAGTCACCAAACTTTGGCGGCTATTTTCTCACTAATTTACTTCTGAAACCAGGCGACCCCGCCTCTTTCAATTGCAAATATCTTGACTTTTATTCATGATAAAAGGATATAGTTTTCATGAAATGCAAGGCAAATGAACGACCTTTAAGATGATACCAATAACTCCATATATCCAAAAATTGACGAGTGCCTGATTCCACCGTGTTGCGACACATTAGTAATCTGGTTTAAAAATTTGTAATATGGCCATGGCCCTGAGATGTCAAGGATAAGGGTTGTAGTCAAACAAGTAAAAAAGTTTATGCAAACAAAGACATGATGAAAAAAGCAGTCTTGCCGGGCTCGTCACTGATCAAGTTAAGAAAATCAGGACAGAAAAGAGGGCAATTGTATTAAGTTTCAAACAATAATCCTTTTTAAAAAATCCCTCACTGGCCTTGTCAGTCACACCACACACAGCACAAAAAGACAAATTTGCTAACACCTTGTCAACATAATGTTTACCTTACTCCTGGATTCGGCACTTCTAAAATCTAATTTTCTAAGGGCAATGTAGCACTGAGCAACTACAAGGGCTCAAGGCAAAGAGAATGCTAAAGTCAGACATCTGCTTGTGACATAGTGACGAAGGCTGTCCGGGTCTAGAATTTTTTCTCCCCTTTTATTTCGGGAAGGTTGGCAGTGAGTTTGGACAGCCAAAATTTTTTAATATCAGAATCAGGGCAGTTACAATCGTAATTTTGTAAAACTGAATAAAAATCGTAGTGATTCCACCAACTTTGTAATGATGAGCAGCCCTGCATGACAATCCGTGGCCATCTTGGATAATTTCAACTATCCCATTAAAAGCAACTTGAACTTAGGTTAGAACCATAAAGGGTTCATTAGTGAAAGATTTTGAGTTCTTTCTAGCTACATGAGTTGTTAAAAGAGTTTGGCGTTACAGAGGTCAGGCATTTATATATATCAAAATAACAGAAAAGAGTTCTTACCTTGGAGTTTTCATGATGTTCTAACATAGAGAGAGTGACCAAGCTCTCGAAGGCACAGCTCCATCTTTCAGCATCTTTGTACATCAAATCCTTTAAAAACAGTAGAATTTAATTTATATTTCTACAACACTATTAAAAACCTGCAAATTCAAGGAAAGAAATGTATCATGTATTATTCAAATAGCAGTTCAATAAATATAAGTAGGCTTATTTGTATTATTCATTCAAAACCAGCACTTCAATAAAAATAAATTTTTGTATATTCAAAACCAGCAGTTCAATAAAAAGACTGAAATGCAGAGGGGAAAAAAAGAGAACAATTAAAATCATTTCAATAATGATTTAACATGTTTAGATTTACTGTTGATTTACAGATAAAAAGGCGTGTCGTAAATCTTCTTAAGGAAATTTGTATAGTAACAGTGTGTAAGACACAGCATTTAAAAATGTGCAATTTACATTCAGTTGCCGCACAACACATATTTGATATAGGCAGAACTAAAAAAAAAAAAAAGAAAGAATCCTGGGTTTTTTATTTAGGAAAAAAAAAGTTAAACTGGTGTGGCTGTCAGCTTTTCTGCTTTGATCTTGAACATCTTCACTACTTTTGCCAAACAACTTCTTGTCTATCTCTTCGACAATGGGTGGCTGTCTTGGACAATTTCGACAGTAATTTCATATGACTTTACCCAAACCTGCATTTAATGGCAACCATGATCACAGAACATCTGCTTGCGGAATGCTCTTCATAAGACATGCTCAGAATGACTGTATGTATGCATGCCTGGAGAAAGGTCCCAATTGACGATGAAGCTATTTTTGAGCAACGGGGGTGAAAAGGCTAAAAAAGTTGTTCTGATCAAAGATTTAGTTTCATGAAAAAACACGCTTTCAACCATTTCTTAATAACAAATTGAAAGGATCTATAATATTCTAAGTCTAAATTTTTTTTGGAAACTATTTTTGAAACATGTACTTTTCCAAATATGTTAAAAATATGCTAAAAATTGGGGTTTTCTCTAAACTTTGACCCTGTGTTTCAAAATGTGGCATATCTTTTAAGATTGCTCAAGTCATTAGAAAAATAAAAAAACCAATGTATTCAACATCGAATTTGCTACAAGAATATGCCCTTATTTCAGTATCCAAAATTTCTGACAAGTGGGACCTTTCTCCAGGCACACGCACATATGGAAAGAGCCAGTCACTGAGAAAAGTTGTGTGGCAACTTGGGAGTCTCTATCACATTTGTGAGGATGTCTGACACTATGTGAAGAACAAAGGAAAGTCTTTCGAAAATATTTTCAACAGCAGCGGGCATAATAAAACGCATCTAGAATTAATGATCCATGCAGGTATTCCTCTTTTAAGATCAAAACTATCTAATGAAAGCAAAACAAATAAAGAGAGATTTGTACACAATGTGACAAGGTCAGACCTGCCATCCACTCCATGACCAAAAATATGAGGCTAAAACAGAATCCTTGCAAAAAATAGTTTAGGGAAAAAAATCTGAGCCTCCAGACCACCAACCACGCCAAATAGATGCGTTAATTCCACTTCATTCACAATAAGCTGCATATGAAATGACCCAACAAAAACAGAATTCAAGAAAAAGTTTAATTTATGCAAATTTGATATGGTTTCTTTGATGAACAAAAAAGAAATTATTTTTTAATTGTTGAGCTCCCATTTTGTCAGGGTACACGGCAGGTCTGCAACATGTAACATCCAACCATTTAAGGATCCCTGACACACTGCTTATTATACTCAAATCTGATAAAAGCAGTCGCAAGATGGGAAGATTAAAAAATATGTAAGGTAGAGCACTAACAGAAGTATAAAGACCATACCAACTAGTCAACAAATAAAAACAACTCACCAGTGCATTGACACCCATAACATTCTTCCATTTATCAACCGGCTCGGCCAGAATCTGTTGGGAAATATAATACAATTTTATGTTTTTATAGTCACAGGCATATATAATAATAAATGGCATTTGTATAGTGGCGCATAGGTCTAACCCCGTTCAACAGCAAGCTCTATGCGCTTTACACTATATTATTACCCCAGAAGACCCCAGAACACTCAGAAACATTTTCAGCTTCCCGGGAAGCATATACAGTGCAAGTAGCTGATTAAGCGCTCAAACACGAACAAACTGACAAAATCTTTCGCTGTCCATTTGGGTACCCATTTCCACCTTGGTGAAGTGAGGAAAATTCGTGTAAATTGCCTTTCCCAAGGACCCAAAGTCCGGCCCATGACGGGATTCGAACCCACGACCTTACGGTTGCGAGTCCAAGAGCCGAGAAACACTAAACCACCTATGCCAAACAAAGTAAAATTATACCAGTATCAGCGCCATACATGTCGCACTTGAGTCTGAGTACAAAGACGCTGCACAATAATAACATAATTTGGTCATGAACACAGCATCATCATCAAGTACCCGACCTGCAAGACATTGGCGATCATGGTTTTGCCATTCATTTCTTTGCTCGAATGCTTTTAAAAAAGCTAGACCTACATCATCCTGATCTTTCCCAATCTTGTTTGTTTTCAAGTGTTACCAGTGAGAGCTGAATGCTCAAGACCCTTTTTGTCTCTATGTAATTGCTCCAGAAAGCAGAATTAGTATGTGCATTAAAAATGAAGCCAAAAAATTCAAATGAAATAATTTCAGGAAAAGACTTTTTTTACACTGACAGAAAGTCAGACAGCATGTTACACACTTCACAGAGGTCAATAAAAATGTGTACACTTCAATAATTATAAACTATCAATTAAAGAGCGGATCTTATCTTTTATTTAAAATCTTGTATCTCTACCTATTTCACTTTTACACCCCTTTCTACTCCCTTTCTGTTGTGCTACCAGATCAAAGGTCAAGTCACTAGGTGATCCAAATGGTCCCAGAATTAGAATCTTCGACCCACAAAGACCAAGCCATTGACACAAGACAAAGATTTCGTCTTGAACATTGCGTTCCTCACTTCTTAGTCATCAGCAAAATACGAATACTAGATCTATACTAAGATTATAAGATGACTACCAACTACTTAGTGTTGTTATTAGTAATAACAATGAGAAGATAAGTTTCTGTCAACAGCTAATTTTGAGTTCGTTTTTTTAACCTGTCTCCGGAAATGCTACGCCTAAAGATTTCTCCCTCCTAATATAAGCATAGTTTGCAGCCATGGTCCTGTCAGATCTGCCAGTCCTGGATGGTTAGTTAGCAAAATCTGGGACAATATTATTATAACGGACCAAGTTGTAGGTTAAGGAAATGGTAAACAGAAAGCCATATATGTCATAATGAAAAGGTGTACAGAAACTTACAACTTTGGCTATTCTCATCGGTAAGTCTGAGAAATACAAACAAAATAATAATGTTGATGTACTTTCTATTTCAGCGCCAGTGTTTATCAACCTTTTTAGAGCCAGTGACGTTTTTTTGCCAGCTTTAAAAGGCTAACATTTTTAACGCCCACTAATATGTATTTCCATGCGAGGCATTGAGTGAGGTAAATTAATTAAAGAAACAATCGAGACTTACCTGTAAGTTGATGATTGTTTCTGATTTTGACGATCTGTCGTCAGGAACGGAGTGGTAACATGAGAAGGCAGCACGGCGTAACCCATCACACTTTAGATAGTCACAGTTGTGACAATTAAATTATTCATTTGGGAAACCAAATACTTGCGAGCACCATAGGTGAAATTAATGAAAGAATAACAATC